AAAATATACTAATTACATTATATGTAACTGTATTTATAATTTTTTGACTGTAGATTACTAACTACTTATATATTTATATAATATATATATTTAATAATATTATCAATATTCATATAAATATTTTTTTAAAATATAATTTATTGTTAATTATTAATATTTTATATAATTTTGTTTAATTAATTGTTGAGTGTATATTATAAGCATTTTTATACCATTTTATATTTTTAGTTAAATAATCCTCGCCCAAACGGTATATATCTATTCGCCCAGACTATATTTTGAGCCGATTCATCCAAACGGTGTACGCCCAATAGAACACGTCGAGTATCCGCTGTTTTATGTTCGATCAAGACAATCCGAATATAACTGTATTCAAAATGTATGCAGATTAGTGCTACTACATTAATGGAGTTTCAAAAGGTAGTAAATCCACGGCCATTGAATTCGTCACGGGCAAGGATCAGCTAGTATAATATATATATACATAATTATTATTATTATTATTGGTAACAGGTTTCGTTCGTACCGCAACAAAATTCTTCGGACAAATGAAAAAAATAAAATTCTGCTACACACTATGTACTTTTTGCTAATACTTATACGTAGTAGATACGTACATAGAACAGCTACGTTTCGTTATGTGTACACAGTCGGATAAATCATTAACGGTTTATCTCGAGCGTCACTCGTTAAATACAATTACACGGACATCTTGTGCGTGCGCTCGTCGTTGTTGTATACGGCGGTAGTTATACGGTAGAAATATCAATGGGGGGAAGACAAAAAAAAAAAAAAAAACCATAACGACCGAGAAAAAATCCTCTCTCGCTCGTTTTATTCTCTTTCGTTATTAATTTTTATCGTTACCGGGTTTGATGTGCGTTACGCGTTGTGCGAGTCGAAGAATAACGTACACGAACAAGAAGAGGCGACCGCACGACACGTAACAATATTATTATCGTTGTCTTCCGCTTCGCCCTTCCGCCGCACGACGCACACCGAACCATGTCCTGGACCAAAGGGCTGGCGAAAGATAGGAGAGACCACGTGCACGTAATAATGCGTATAAATAACGATACCCGTGCGCCCGTCGTACTCTTTGAACGGTCTTTTGTGCGCCTCTGCCCGCGGCTCCGATAATTAATTTCCGTCGACCGACGGTCACTAAAGGAATTCGGGAAATCGTAACGCGCCGTAAAATACGTGCTGCACCATTACGGGGTCGTAATGAGATGTGCGCGCACGTACGTATGCGTATGTTACGTAAATGGAATTTAGACCGACCGGAGGAGGAGGAGAAGGAGAAGAAGGAGATGCAGAATAATAGTGGAAGGAAAAAAGTCTTCAAGTCTTCACTCGGTCGAGGTTAATTTTTATTTTCAAGACCAGTTTACCGATGTCCGTTGATAAATAAAATGATGGTTCTTTTTTTTTCTCTCCGTTTCGGGACGACGACGCGTAATTCCAATGTTTTTTTTTTCCACTTTTTAATCGTTACTCTAATCGTGTACTATCGTTATATACTATCGATCAATGCGATTCGTACAATATCATATGTGTACGCGCATGCGTCGCACAGTTCGTTAACTGCTCCGCCGTGCGGGTTTGATGTGTTCGTCAAGCGAAATGTTCGGCGGCGGGCGATCACGATAATTATACGTACAAGTTTATAATACAACGTTTTTTCTCCTTCTCCTCCACCGTAACGTATGTGTTTTCGTTTGGTTTCGTGTTTCTTTCTTCTTTTTTTCATTTTTTTTCTCATTCAATTTTTTATTGTACCGCACTCTTCTGTTTAACGGATACGTTTTCGGCCGGCAGTCTGACGAACCGGTCGATGTTTATCGCGATATAATTTACGACAATAATTTTCAATCGTGACATAAGAGGTCTCGGGACGAGACATATTGTTATAATTTATTGTTATTAAATACATTTTTTAACGCCAGAGAATCTGCCGCGTCCGTGCTGCGTAGCGATCCGGCCAAATGCACATAATAATACAATTATCGCTACCATCTGCGGATATCGCAGGAAAAACGTGCGTTATACGTCCATAAAATATTACGTGCGCTCGTTTTTCGTCCGTCAGCGCGGAGCGATTTAGTTTTCCGTTAAACGGCATCCGTGTGCGTTCCACAATTTATTAATCTTAACGATGTATTGCGTTCTATATGATGTTCACGCACATAATAATCGCAATAATAAAAAAAAAAATATATTATCGTTAATAGTGCAGTATTATTTTGCGTGCAATTTTTTTACCCGGTGTTTCGCGAATAAATGTGATGTATGGCGTTGTTATGTTCTTATTTGTTTGGTTTAAAATTCTAACGTATCAAGCGATGCGTACAGTTCTGCGCATTTTGAAAATGTGTTTTTTTTTTTTTTAAACCTACTTCAAGCAAACGTTAGTTTAATGTCCGAAATTTTTTTCCGCGCACCAATGCGTACAGTTTGTCGAATACGTCCTCGAGTTCACGCGGTGCAACGTATGCCGACATGACAACATTGAAATTTATTATTTTTACGAGAAAATCACCGTGATATTTTTAAATATGTTCGGAGATACTGCTCGTTTTTGTCGAAAACTTTATTCCGTCGTGGTTTTCACTCGTGCACACGTCTATATGTAATCGAGTACACGAGCAACGCATTGTAACGATATACTTTTGCTTTCGAATAATGATTATTATTAATCTCCAAAATAAACATTATTCATTATGATAAAATAATTATACAATAAAATTATTATTATTATTTTTTTTAGCGAAACGTATATTATTATTTTCCAAAATATACGTTTCGCTGAAACAAATGCTTAGTAAAATCCGTTCGGTACCGTTATTCGAACGAAATTAACATAGTATTATATTTTCTAATTAAAAAATCACAACACGATAACTCTTGTTATTTTATAAAACAACATCGAATTTCGGCTCATGTCACGTCATCACGTTCACTGTTCTTTTTACCAAAATACTAATGGGCCAAGATCAAAAACTGCTATAATTAACACTTGAGTCGACTAATTTTTGAGACACATAAAAGTTGCTGTTGGAAAATTAAAAATGGATACTGGACCAATACTATTCATTTTCTTATTACAAAATAACCACCCGACAAATGGTAAACTTTGGTTGTTCTTGTTCTGACCAAGTACTACTGCAGTGCACGGTTTTTAATAATACAATTAAATTAAAAATGTTGAATTCGCAAAGATTAAAACCAAATATCGTCAATGAATCATTTGAAAACATGGTTATATAATGTTTAACGATATGTTGTTACGACGTAGCTGACAATATTGTGCAATAAGATTTAAATAAAAGTTTACGCTTACTTGAAGCTACTTTAAGGGTCTTATTGAAAAATTAGTGATAAAAGACACACTGTATATAGTAACGAATTGTTTGATCATAAAATCTCATCACGGTTCGTATACGATTATTGTGTATAACTCATGTAAAATCGTAGTTGTAATCACATTTTGTTGGAACAATGATAATAATGTACAAATAAACTCTTCAAGCACGCCTTATGTACAGGCAACATAACTTACGTAAAGCCGATGCGTTTATTGCATAAAAATATTTTGATAATTATGTCAACTAACATAGCATTTATTCGAATGGACTTTGGTGCACTTTGGTGCATCAAAGTGGCAATTTGGTTATAATATCATCTCCGACGACCACCAATTTAATTAATAAAATCAATTGATAAAGATATCTCGACTATATTATCATTATAAATATCAAAATACTTCCGAACAATATTGTCCTTAAATACCCATATAATAATTACTAAATTGATACATTAATTTGCAGGGATACTGTGATAAAAACAAAAGTAATTTTTTTTTGTCAGTTCGACACAATATGTTCATTGTTATCAGCTTCATTACATGATTAGATAAAATTGAGATTTCTTAAAACCACGTCATAACGACACCACATTCGTAGCCAATAAATCGTCTTTTTTCCTCACTCTTATTCTAAAGAACTATGAACGTTATTATTGCACATTTTAATTGCGTCAAAGTACTATGTTTATTTATTTGTAATTTAATACAATATCGAGATTACGCCTACATTTTGAATTGTAATTCTATATTATTCTTCATTTTTTTTTTCTGAATTTCACATCTTTAAAGGAATAAAAATATCATCTAGTTTTTAAAAAATATTATTATTTTTCGGATAACTATTCAGTTTTAGACAAATATACGTCTTATTACCAATGATAATTATTTAAAATTAATTATGATAATTTATCTTAATTTATTTTTTATGGAATTCTGCCGAAAAAATATTTCGGCACAATTCCCGTTCTTTTATCGTATTATTATAATATCAATTTTTTTTTTTTTTTTTAAACAGACCAATTTTTCATGTCTCAACATTTTTAAAATAAATTACCAAAACGATCCTCAAACATACGTTTACTTTATGGCAGCAAAACGATTTTACGATGTTTGTTCAAAATTATTAAGTGCTCTAACGGACATTTTAGCTAACAAAATAAAATTCTTTACTAATTATTTCGAAAACTACCTATCACCCAAAAGAATCTAAGAAATCTAAAAAAATGTATTGATTTTCGTCAATTACAATTTTTTTATTTTTTTTACTCTTATACATAAAAAATAAAAGTCCTATGCGTGTCTCTGTTGTAAATGGTAGAACAAACAATAATCGTTTTTGATTATTATTTACTCGGCAGTTAACACAAATCGTATTCGTATAATAAATAAAAATGACCTAGTTCTATTTTGGAAGTTAAATACATTATTTTCTATTATTATTTTCTTTGATTTAACGTCGTCCATTCCGAAAATACCTTTGTTAACTACTACATTCCAGCACTATTAAATTAAATATTGAACAGTAACAAGTTTTTCGTTGAAAAAATTAAATAAATAAAAAATTAGGTAAACGAATAACATGCGATAGGAATCGTTTTGAGTATCTTGAAACGCAGTGCACTAAATCCGTATTTGTCGGGAAGACTAAGTTTCCGTGGTTCACTCGGGACGGTCAAATTTCTTCGTTATGCGAAACGTCATGGTTTTACTGTGCCTGGTGATGACGAATTTCAAACCATCGTCGTCAGAGGAATACAAAGGTTTGATAAACGCGTTGATCAATGTGTTTGCACAGAAGCACGTGTCAACGGTAACGGCTTCCACCTGCTGGTCCTCAGGTGACTTGGAATGTTATGTATAGTATTTTTAAGAAAAAAATTTTTTTTCACTATCCGTAAATCTTTCCGGCCTGTATTCTACTGGCCATCACCCCAAAGCGCACACTTTTCAACAAATCAGCTACAGAGATCACGAAAAATACCTCTTCAATAATATTGATAAACGTGTCCTTTAGAATAATGGTGTTATGGAGCTGTGCATGCACTAATAAATCAGTGATAACCGTGTATGTAATATTTTTCCTAGATTTAGTCTCGAGTTAAATTTAATTCCTATATATATTTTTCATTAGTATTATATCTGTACTAAACGCCGATTATCGGCTTCGATCCGGTTTTCACATCAACCGTCCACACGACTATGGTTAGATATAATATTATAATCGCGAAACACGACGGCACGGTTGCGTCTGTAGTTCGTTAGTCAGCGTGTTAAAACTTGGGATACAATAAAACAACTCCTTGTATTATCCCGATATTGTTATAATATTTTTACTTTTTTATTTATTTACTTCATTTTTCCAACAGTAATATTATGAACGTAACGTTTCCGTTCGCAGATTCTGTTAACCGGTTGCTGTTGGGACTGTCGTCGGCCAATATATCCGTGGGCTTTCGACCGTCCGCAATTCCAACGTTCAACACGTGGTACAGATGCGGTATCCTGGTCGACGTGTCGTGTACTCAAATCGCGACCACGCTATTCCGGCAGGTTATGCGCTATTGTTTTTAACTCGATGATAATGACCGTTAATATAAGATGTATCATGAACTAATTATAATAGTTTCATAGAAATACACGTGTAGTTCCCATAGTCGTCCTGATGATTGACAAGAGCGTTAAATACACTACAGCCCTGCACATAACATACCTAACATACCTAATATTCACTTCCCATCAACGGACATATCATTATATACCTCCCCTTTTCCGCGCCTTACACACTGCGGTTATACACATTGCGTAAAAAGTACGTGCAAATTACGTAAAACATGTTACGGGCAATATGGAATAATGTACACATTACCCGAACAATTTGAACTTCGATTATAAACAAATAATTACAAAGTACAAAGTTTCTCGAAAAGCACGAAAACTTGACTGTTTTATTGACCAGGTGTTCATAAATTATTGTTCATATATTGTTGACTGATCGTATCGACACAGCTATATTACTTTTATCAATCTGATATGGAAAAACAGTAGATACTAGAAAAATATGAATAACGAGTAAGAAATATTTATACTGATATTTTATATTTTGTTCTTAATTATAATAAAAGTATGATTAGTAAAATATTGTACAATTATAATAATGAGTATTATTAACATTTCCGTCCGTGGTTCAAATTGTTCGGGCAGGACCAAATGGCCGAAGCAACGTGTAAATCGCCCAGTGTTTCATATTGCCCGTAACATTTACGTTTGGAAAACGGCCGACGAACATAAAAACAAGTCCATGTGCAATGTAAATAGGCTTCGGAAAATCGACTGTTCAGCAGACAAAACGATTGGATACTGGTAGATCCTCGGCGGCGTCGGCGGCGGCAGGATACGGACTCGACTTGGTCCAGCTCGGCAACAGCACTGGAGACTTTCGAAAACCACTTAGCCGACGCGTACGTGCTGCCGGAATCCAACGTACTGCTGCTGGTCGAGACGGATGACGCCGGCGGCACGTGGGATATTTGGGAGGGCTTCAAGGTGGGCAAAGCGGAACGGATCCGCGTGTACAAGCACGGCACGGTGACGAGCGACGGTGTGCTGGAACTGAACAGGAACTCAGTATCGCCGAGAACGGATTTACGAGGCATCACGCTTAAGGCGACCACGGTGGTGAGTACATTTCGAACCGCAGTGTTTTTTGACTGACCCGATTTATAAAATTGAAATATAAATTCAAATAATTAGATTGACCCATCCACTTTTTCCAATTCTTCTCTCATTTCAAATACACAAAAATTTTTTTTAAACATATATAAATAAATATACAGTTTTAAATAGAAAACATTTGTCAAATAATTAATTTGATTTAAAAATTTTGAAAATTTTTAATTTTTTTTGTTAATATTCCAATTTTCTAGGCAGTTCAATTGAACTACGTGGAGTTAGGTGCCACTGACAGTCTCAGTGAATTATAATTTTGTTCATTAATATTTGAGTAAAATATTATGCACACATTGCATTTTATTTTCAAATAATCAAGAATATAAACCCTAAGAATATTAGAAATAAACCTTAAGAAACTGTGTTAGAAGCGTTTTAAGTATTTACATTTTTTTTTTTTTTTTTTGGAGGGACTCAACTGTGAACTGGAATTTTAAAAAAATTAATACCAATACAAAATACTCTTTCATCCAATACTAAACACTTGTTGCTATTTGTGAAACTAAATGGGTTTTAAAACATGGCTGTATTAAATGGTTTGAATACATTTTTATTCCAATTTTTAAAGCTTTAGATAATTTAGAAAATTCGGTGAATAAAAAAACATTAACTACAGCTTAACATCTTTTACGAGTTATATTAAATGAAAAAATGTTCACTTTTTTAACCGTATTAGAAAAAAATACATTTTCTTTTTTATATACATTATTACATTTTTTTATGTAAGCATTTATAATACAGGTTATATCTACTTATTTTAATGATCTAGTTGTCAATTTTATACTAACTTAAAAAATTAAACCATCTCCCCCCCAATACAAATGTTGGGCACATCCTTGTATACAATTACACATCATTGTACTGTACTGCGTATATTATTGCTGTCGTGTTCCTATCAGATCACGGAGCCGACCAAATTCGATGGATTCTATCCGTTTGCAGACGCCGATCTGGACATATTTGCTCACATGCACAACGATTTAAATATGATTCTACAAGACCAGCTGAACTTTAAGTAGGACAAGTGAAGCGAACGATTTTTTTTTTTTTTTACCGGACGAACGGTCGATGATATAATGTTATTACAAAATAACCGTAGTGAAATACAATATTAATTGTTTATACGCTCCGTTGAAACTGTATAGTACATAGTATATATGTATCCACTGCATAAATCCGATAGTTAACACAACACCGTTATGCCACGTAAATATGTTGCGTATGTTGACCAGTAAAATAGGCGCAGAATCAGAATAATTAATATGAGGGGGCCATATTATATTGTAAACATAATATAATATATGAAATTCAATAATCCTATGATATTATAAGTACTACGATTTACCATAAATACTTCTTAATTAACACAATAAAGAAATAGACTTTCAACTAAACATTTTAAAAATAATAGGTAGGTACATTGAAAAAAAAAATCCTATAAGAACAATGAAAAAATATTAAATATGAAATTGAATCAAAGTTATAGAGCAAAATCTAATTTTTTTTTGGTTTTTGACAACATGTTGTCAACGCCGTGGCGGCTCTTACGGCTGTGGCAGATAACCGCCAAGACTCGCGTTTGGTCGCGGGATAAGTATATTGAAGACCGATCGTACGATTCGATGTTAGCGATTGAAAAACAACAAAAAGGCATACAATGGATGCGCGTTGCGTTTAATAATTATAATAATAATATACAAATATTGAATTTACGAGGCGCCCCAGAATAATAATAAATTAACAGATATTTATAATATAAATGACCAGAACCTCATTCGCTGATCATAGACTTTTAACAATGATAATAATAATAATAAACGACTATTACCCGACGATGGAAATTATGGACATCATTCTTGACACTACGAGATGGGAGTTGCACATGATGAAACAGCGCACACGAACAGGGCAACAACACGAACGTACCCGCCGTTTTGAACAGCTACGGTGAAGGCGCACACACGTTAATAAATTTATGGTGGCGACGAGGACGCACTTATCTCGAATGTAACGACGACGACGACGAAAAGGGGTACACATGTCGATTGGCAGAAAAACAGAACGCAATCGCAAGTTAATAACGTACACGGGTCGAGGCGGCACCACGACACGAAGAAGGAAAAGTGAAAGACAAAAAAAAAAAAAGAACTGAAAATGAAAAAGTAACGAGTCACCGCTGTACGCCCTCCCTCCATCGATGTCGTCGCGCACGATAATCGGTGAGATTCGTGGCCGGACTGTGATAGTCGGCGGCGGAGGGATCGGGAAGGACCGATATCAAGCCTCCTTGGACACGCGAATCATGTGGCACGAGTGCCGGCAGTGCGAAGCACGTGCGGCTCGAAAACATGTCAATGACTTTATTGACGTCTAAGCAGGCACGTCGTCAAGGGGGGGGGGCTTAAGGGGCCTGGCCCCCTAAGAAAAATCAGTGGCCCCCTTGATTTTGATTTTTAAATATTATGGTGTTGAGTTGTCCCAAACCAGCTAAATTCTGAATGTATATTCCATATGGGCGATTGTAAACTCCGCTAAAATATCGGTTAAGATAAAAAGATTATAAAAGGTCTAGTGTAAACTCCGCCAGTTTTTTTTTCTTACCTATAATAGGTATATGTAAATTCCTCCAGTTTTTTTTTTTTTGTTGTTGTTTACCTGCTCATTGCTCACATTACCACGTGCCTTCTCACATTAAATACGTTGACGTCTATTGCGATGATGTACGTCGAAATTGATAAGATTATTATCCTGGTTCCATTCATTTCAATATATATCCACATTGGTTCATTTATTAATAATTTTATCTACATATTATTTGAAATTAGTATTTCCATTGATGATGTTGGCAGTAGGTAAGGTATACGTAAAGTATACTTTGACGAACATAATCATTCGTAGCTGCGTGTCTTCGTGTATATTTTGTATTGAACGAAATATGTTGCAACAAAGTAATAATATAAAATTAATTACTGGTCAACGAGGCAATTTATAGGTTCTATTTAACAACCAACTACAAATATAACCAAAATATAAAATATACCAGACGGTGAAATAAAATGGAGGTACGATATTATATATTATAATAATAATATTCACTTATTATTACTTATTACGTATTACTTTTAATAACATATCATATTAATTTTATACTACTTCTCGGTTTTCTTCACTGGCAATGTTTACATGTATTAAATTTTACATGATTTTTTTTTAGTGGCGGAGTTTACATGAACCCAATTTTACAAGTTTTATTTTTCTAGTTAACAGTAGTAGGAGTTAACAGTAAAAAATGGTACTTGTGGCGGAGTTTACATGCGTCCATTCCATATAATTAACGATCGTATAACAAAAATTAAATTCTGAGATTCTATTTTATAAATATTCGTCACTTGATAATTTGAGATAAGACAATAGTACGTGTATTAATAGATTGAAAACTAGTAATTCCAAATACGGATATCGAACGCACATTTGATAAATACAACTACAAAAAGGGGCCAAAAAATGTTGGCCCTCTTATAGAAATATGTCTGGTTACGTGCCTGCGTCTAAGTCAATATCACAGTGGATATTCAAAAGAGCGAGTCCAGTTTATCCTAAAATTGATTTAATATAAATTACGCATCATTTTTAAAGATGTATTATCATCGGTGTCAGAAGTTCATACTTGATGTAGACTGTTTAGTTGCACAGAATAAAATGAATGTTACGAATGAAACATTTATATAAACGGTAGGCATATAAATGCGGGTGATTACGATATGAGACGACGATCGGTATCCGTCACGTCGTCAGTCGACGCGATTAGAAATTCCCCAACTATAAATAGAACGATCCACAAGACAATGCAGTTATCTATTATTATTATTCATAATTTACATCAGTGGTTCCCAACCTTTTTAGTAGTACAGACCACCAATTTCATAGAAAATCTTTGAGGCTCACCAATAGTTATATATGTATAATGTGCACATACGTCAGTTATTATAATTTATTTATTAAAAAAAAAATTGTTTATCAAAAAAAAAAAAAAAACTTTATTGAACCAGATTATTCAAGAGTTAAACAATGTAATTTTGGATTGTCCCCCACAAGAGAATCAATATCTGGATTAAAAATGAAAATGTTTAGCCTTAAATCACTCAAAATTAAATTTATTCCTAAATTTATTTTTTAAAAAAATTAATGTAGAAAAAGCTCGTTTACACAGACACACAAGTTGTCGAAATATAGCCCACCAAGTTTCTAAATCAAATTTTAGAAATTGCTGGAAAATCTTGCCGAATATTTAACTAGAATGGTAATAATGGTGTAGTTTTAAAAAACGATTTCAGAGTCTGATCACATGAAAGTTCAATCAACGAATCTTCTTCACTTACTGATATTTAATATTTTACAAATATATGTAAATAATGTTAATATAATATGGTTCACGGCTCAGTACCACCTGCTCGCGGCCCATGGGTTGGAAACCGCTGATTTATATGAAACCTACAAAATAACATCCTAAACAGTTTTGTTTTTTGATAGTTGCTTTAATTTTTTTTTTTTTTGTTTCTCGACATTTGAGGTAGGCCATCGTTTCCTTGTTCCCTAACCTCCTCTTGTATCCGCGCCTGGAGTAAAGAAAAAGAAAAATCGGTCGACGCAAAACATGTGTATATTCAACGGTACACGGATGATGGTCAAATTTTAAAATGTACATAAATATACTTCATTGGCTGACGAAAAGTAAACATAAAATTTATTCGGTAGTAAAAAAAAAAAAAATTATATAATTATATAAATTTTTATAAAAGAAAAAACGTATGGCTTGTACGATTCGTTCCTGAATAATGTGAACGACTTACTCTTCGATTTGCGTTACAATGCGTAATTTTTTTAGTATTTCTTCTATTGGAAATCGAGTAGGCTTTTTTTTTTTACGAGCTCTTAAAATGCAAAATCGCAATAGTAATATCGCAACGCTACACGCAGAACCGATTTCCGAATGCAATGATTCTTTTTCGATCCCCGCACATTTGAAAGCGAAAAAATCTTCTGTTCGCTATTATCTCGATCAAACGTAACAACGCGATAAATATCGTTGTCAGTTCGGAACGTTAATGTGTAAACCGTACAAAATGACTCCGGACCAACTGCGGGAATAACAAACAACACGTACGTTCGAAACGTGTAATTTTTCTCGTTCCTCTCGAGATCCAAAAAATTACTTCTTTACATCATATAAACAGTTTACATCCCGTGAACAAGAATCGTATTCATAATCAGAGTCGATATTCGACGAAACATATCACTTGAAACGAAAATATGTTCGATAGGTCATTGATTCGGCCCACACTGTATCAGTATTATCATACATTAATAGTATAGATGTTCCGGGTATTCGACAATTATATTCGATAGTACTCACTCAGTGTTATAATTAAGACTCGGTCCTTACACTGGCGTAAAACTGCATTTTTACACGACCCTTACTCGGTATTCGATGTGTAACTTTACTCAGTTTATAATCAATTTTCTACACCTAACATCTCCGATTAATACCATTACATTGGACAGTGGCGAGTCGAACTCAACAATTTTCACAGGCAAGTATATTTTGTCGACATACACCCCTCTCTCCCCCAAACAAAGAAAAACTGAGAGGCAGTCGCCTCTCGTTTACCCATATCTCCACGTCACTGACAGTGTATAAAATAATGCGCATAATTTGCGTCGATACGAGCGATCCAGTGGCGTAGCCAGGATTTTTAAATGGGGGGGGGGGGGCTAACCACTTTTTTTGGATAAGTAAGGTAAGAGAGGATATGAGAATTCACCCTTAACCCCCCCCCCCCATTACCATCTACCTCCAAGTTTCTAAACGTAATTCAAGCATTTTAGTATAATTTTAAAAATATTTATTAATATATAATTTATAATAATAATAATAATTTTGGTTTCAGTGTTCAGTCACTTGCTCCACTCTGACAGCTGCATTCTCTTAGGCGAATTTCTGGCAAATTCAGTTATTGTTTCACTTTCATCGAATTGCTCTTTTTTATTTACATTAGTCATAGCTAACCCATTCAGTCTGTTTTCCGACATGGTGCTTTTTAAAAAAATTTTTAAGCGATTAAGTGCTGAAAACGTTCTTTCCGGAATGAAAGAGGTAACTGGTAACGTGGCGAATAATTGTAAAAGTATTTTAATGTTAGATCGAAGATTGGTGCGATGAGAGAGTGAATCAAGAGCAGAATTCGGTTTTGGAATAGTATTTTGACTCCATTGTTGCCTCCATATAAACAGTTCAGCTCTGATTGTAGATGAGGTATCATCATGGAGATCTTGGACATATATTTTAGCAGCTTTTATAATATTTTTATCGTCATACATATTGAAATTGGCCGGAATAAGTCCTTTAAGTGGCATAACATCAATATGCCTTTGATTAAAACGAGCGTTGATTCTATTAAATAGTCAAGATACATTATACATATAAACACGACCCATGGGGTAGGCTATAGCCCTCTTAGCTTCCCCCCCCTTGGCTACGCCACTGAATACAGGTGAATAGTTCTTATACACATGAAATTAATTTACCATTACCTTCGAAAAACGTATCTCAGGGAATTAAGACGCATGGATCACCTTCTATGACTAAAAATAGTTCGTATGACTGCAGAAGTATACGATTAGGTATTTGATTTCGTATTCAGATTGGTCGCAGTGCACAACCAACTTTAGATAAAACTAAGTGTATTCCATATGCGATTATAAATTAAATAAATCAATTATAATTTATTTACCTTGAAACCACAATATTAATAAACAAATACATATTTTCAAACATATTTTTCATATTTTTTACAAAATGGAATAATTATTTAACATTTATTCGCAAACTTTCAATGCATACGACCATGTTTATAATTTTACTAAAAACTTTTCACGTTTTGTTATCTTATACCTATAACCACATTTAAAAATACAATAAAATCAAAATTCAACAAATATTTATTTTATATTTTACGTACACAAAATATCACAAATCTTTGGGGACATAAGTATACAACAGCATATTATATGTTACCGTCAACAGAGAGTTATTAAGGCGTTATTGAAAATGTCCAATACATGTTTAAGTGTTTTTTATGGGCAATAATATTATTGAAAGATATAATTATGGTATGCCTAATTTAAGCTAAGTGTTACAGTCAATGACATAAATACTTCAAAAATCACACATAATTTTCAAGATTTGTCTATCATTTTCATAAGTGATATTGTAGTCATAATGATCATGTGGTATGCAGAGTCGATGAAAATTAAACATGTAATAAGGTACTGTGCTCTGTACAGAGGAACATGACGCCTTCAAATGCACAGATTATTTTATTACTTTTATGGAGATCCATAAATATGGACTCTCACATAGAAAAGCGTTATTTACGTAAAAATTTGTTTAGCAAATCGACGAGTATTGACATTTATTCCGTAGGTACAACGAAGGTTGAAACTATGTTAAATTTAGTCATTGACAAAACCATTTGAAATTATTATTAACTAAATGTTAATGTAAATAATGTTAATTTATCATTGACGGTAACACGTAAAGTGTACATTGTACGTGTAACTATAAATATAATTATATATGTCGAAAATCTAACTATTATTTTTCGGTCTTGTGTGTGGATGTTTGTTTTTTCAGATACTTTAGATTCAGGTGCTTTTCTTATTTTTTTTTCTTCGTATCACTATAAAAATTGATAAATTTAATATCATTTTGATAAAATATTTTAATATTTGTGATTATCTATAACATAAGGTTATAGAAATGGCTCCTCTACCCTTGAAAAAATGTATGACTAATTCATTGTGCAGTCATTAAACACAATTTAATTATTTTTTTAAAAATCGATATAACATATTCGTCCTTTTACCATTTCGCGGCTGGTACTAGTACAATACCACGTTTTTTATTGAGTGAGTTCGACTTCATCATCAACCGCAACACATTAAATTTATCTTCGCGTTTTTCTACGCATGTCTAAACAATAAAGGACTATGGTTAAATGCGAATAACATTCATCATCAGTACAATTGAAAAAATTACTAGATAACTGATACATGTTTGCTGATATGCGCAGAAACCTTAATATGTTATATATACATCTTGTTTTGTGAGTAATGAGTGTAATTTTATATCTTACTATCAACAACCATAATAACGCACTGGCGACTAATGGATGGGCACAAAACTTACGTTAAGAAATAAAAAACTATTGATAATTACAAAGTACACGTCTCTCCATGATTCATCTTTGTAAGGGTACTCGTTCGGGAAATGTTTCTTAGTGTGGTGTTCCCACAGTTCATTGGTGTGTTGCATCAGATAAATATTATTTTTTTCAATTCTGTGCAACTGCTCGGGAGTAGCGAATTTCAGGGCTGGTTCCAGATAGTCGAATGGGATCCCTTGAGTAGATTTTAAATCTAAAAAAATTAACATAAAATAATATTACAATAATATCAATATACTGGTGACATCAAACTAGAGTTAAAATCATGTATATATCACCATAAACCGAGAAAATAATATGTACCGTCTAAGTTCTTCTTTAGGGAATTTATGCAAGTATCTTTGAGACTTGGAACTTCTGGATTCACAGCCCTTTTACTCCCAGCGTACACCTTCGTCCTTTTAAATATTATTTAAGGTGAAAACAAATCTACGAATATATAATTATTCTAAGTAAAACCTCTTATATTTTCTCGACAGCATTTCATTCAATGGATCAATCTCCTCGACGAGCTTTCTTTTACTTTTTAATGATGATCCGCTTTCGTTCTGTTGTTTTGTGGAACTTCCTGCTGCAGCTGAGTCCATGGTTTTCAATTTGTTTTATAAATTATTATAAAAATTGAAGAAAAAAGTGATTTTTCAAAAATATTCAAGTTATTCAACAATATTATCGCAAATATATTAAGATTATAATCTTCACTTATACGGTTATTACTTAATATTCAGTAAGTTCATATACGAATACACTTGGTCACTTGAATGTAGCTAATACAAATTCTCATATAAGAATGAAATATCAAGCTCGTTACTATTAGAAGTAAACATTTCATAGATCATCATCAACCATGGAAACGGAATATTTAAATTTATATTTTATGTCAACTACTTTTGAAGTGAAATATTTTATATTATCTTAATTATTTGGAAAACTGTTGAGAATTATAAAAAAATTACTTAAATGTACCTTAATGATAACATCTTATAGACAGATAAAAAAAAATCATGATGTTAAATTTTGTACATTTCTCGCTTCGCTCAGAATCTATAATGTTTATACTCAATGACGTGCCTGGAAATTAAATTGTATTGGCCACAGATGTGCCAATACAATTTAAATGCCTTCAATTTCCAATTAGATTGGCATTTGCAATGACTATCAATAAGTCTCAAGACCAAACGATATCTGTCTGTGGCTTAGATTTGAGCACATCATATTTTTCACACGGACAATTATACGTGACGTGCTCTCGAACCATCCAGTTTGTGTTGGTGAAAGATGGGATAACAAAAGATATTGTACACTCTGTTGCATTAAGGGATAGATATTGTTTTTTACTAATATTGTCATAATTAGCGATATATATAATTTTAATGGATCAATTTTAATAAATTATTAAAAAAATAAATGTTTGATGTTTTTTCGTTTTTATATTTCGTTACCATTCATAGCACTCCATATCTCTTCCTTACATCCTTATTCTTACCCACATTCTTACATGCTTATATTTAATTAGTTATTTTTTTCTAGAAAAATATTCTCTAGAAATAATTTATATGATAAAACAACGTTTGTCGGGTCAACTAGTAATTTATAATAATAATAATAATTTTGGTTTCAGTGTTCAGTCACTTGCTCCACTCTGACAGCTGCATTCTCTTAGGCGAATTTCTGGCAAATTCAGTTATTGTTTCACTTTCATCGAATTGCTCTTTTTTATTTATATTAGTCATAGCTAACCCATTCAGTCTGTTTTCCGACATGGTGCTTTTTAAAAAATTTTTTAAGCGATTAAGTGCTGAAAACGTTCTTTCCGGAATGAAAGAGGTAACTGGTAACGTGGCGAATAATTTTAAAAGTATTTTAATGTTAGGTCGAAGATTGGTGCGATGAGAGAGTGAATCAAGAGCAGAATTCGGTTTTGGAATAGTATTTTGACTCCATTGTTGCCTCCGTATGAACAGGTCAGCCCTGATTGTAGATGAGGTATCATCATGGAGATCTTGGACATATATTTTAGCAGCTTTTATAATATTTTTATCGTCATACATATTTAAATTGGCCGGAATAAGTCCTTCAAGTGGCATAACATCAATATGCCTTTGATTAAAACGAGCATTGATTCTATTAAATATTCAAGATACATTATACATATAAACACGGCCCATGGGGGAGGCTATAGCCCCCTTAGCCCCCCCTGGCTACGCCACTGGAGCGATCAGTTCGATTTTACCGAAATCGATTATTTTAAATATTACCGCACTGTACGAAACGTATACCTAACTCATTGCCGCAGATAATTCTTAACTATTAATAATGTAATTCTTACGGTCATTCTTCGCCGTCCGTTCGAACCGGAAAATAGTTTGGATGCGTTTTTTAATTAAAAAAGTTAATTTTTTATTATTTCTCCTTTTCGTGCGCCCGCCAACGAAAGGATGGATCTGGAAATCGTGAACAGCTTTGGCTGGGATCTGGGAAACGGTTCGTTCGGCGGACTCACGGGTCAGCTGCAAAGGGAAGAATGCGATTTCGGTGGGATCGGCAGCTTCATTCGAGCCGACCGAATGATGGTGATAGATTATACAATCGGGACGTTTTATAGAGAGTAAGTATAAACTTCGATACACATGATTTGCACATAGATTTGCCGACGCGGTTGTTTAACGACTCGGCGGCGCTCGAAACGCACCGGCGGACGCCGTGATTTTAAAAATACCGTTTCGGTTCGGAAAAAATATATTTTACGTGTTTCTGTTTCGTAGACCGTAGTGCGGATTATGTCAATTCTGTGATATAAAAACGAGTCCATGTTAGGCGATTCGGTATACCATTCCATCGGGCGCATGTAAGATCCGCCACAAGTACCTTATTTTACTGTAAACTCCGCTAGAAAAAAAAAAACAGGTAAAATTGGGTTCGTGTAAACTCCGCCAGTGAAAAAAATCAAGTAATAGTATGAAATGAATATGATATATTATTAAAAAAAAAAATTATATTATAATACAATATCATATCATTCACACAAAATATTTAAATCATAATAAATAATCGTTATACTTAATAATCCAAAAATATATAGTTATGTCATGTATGTAAACTAAAATGATGTGATACAATTTGTAAATATTCTAAGTCTAGTATTACTCCATTAGAGTACCTATTTATAGCATCCTGTAACACTGTCATATTTTTTTTATGTCATTTAGTTTTATATAAGAATGGATTTGAAATTCGGAAAAAACTTTACTAAAAATATGAGCATTCGGTTGATTTTTATAAAATTAATTTCTTAGATGACTATGAAAGGATTCACAGGCAAAACACATAAAAACTGGTGCAGTTTACATATATCCATTACAGGTAAGAAAAAAAATGACTGAGTTTACATTAGATCTTTTATTACCTTTTTATCTTAACCGATATTCTGGTGGAGTTTACAATCGCCCCATTCCATCGTGTATGGCGCACCTTCTCGTCGTGCTTACGTTTTTAAAAACGTGTTGGACGAATCGGTAGCTTGAAAAAAAATAAATATCCGCTCAAATGAGCTCTCCGTGAGCGCACGTTTCACAGTTGGAAATGTTTTAACCATATATAATACATAATGTATTATGTATGATGTATTATCTATAGTTTTAACCGTTCTGAGCAGTGCAGCCTTAACGTTGAACGCGATTTCACGTGATCGGAGTGGGCAGAACTCGACGTGTTGTTGCGCTCGTGCCAGTGGCATACTTGACTTAATTTTATGGTGGGGGGGCGGTACTAAATTTACGAGCATTATACATTAGTTAAGTACATTATTTTTTTATACATATGCTTATGTTCTTGAATATGTACCTATTGGTCCATTTTATAGTTGTATCTTTTACTCATTGCACATCTCGAGAAAGGTAAATAAAATACAATAAAACTAAAATTTAAAATTTAAATGTAATATTCCTAACATAAATTTATAATAAGAATATATACAAATAACTTGAGCAATGGGAAGGCGATCGCCCTCCTCACTCCTCCCTCAAATATGCTACTGGTTCGTGCGAACAATACCTGGTAATATTTTACAGGTGACGATTCCGAATTTATTCGTTTACCCATTCGACGAACCCGTTGACCGGTGTCACGAGAAATGTACATTTCGATGATCCGTCATTGATTGCTGTTGTAGGCAAGGTGCTCTGTTCAAACAACCACCGCTATCCAGCGTCCGGAACATATGCGTGTTGCCGTTCAAAACGGAGGTGTGGATGATGACGTTTTTCACGTTTCTCGCGTTCACTGGGCTCATCGTGTTCTTATCGCGCGTCACGAAGAAGTTCAAAAACACAGACGACGAGACCCTCACCGTACTGGACTCAGTGACAATCGTCCACGGGGCTATTTGCCAACAAGGTAATACAATTCGTTTTCCACTCGATTCAACAATGTTTTTAACATTCGCTGCGGACATACTGCATCGCGTTTCTTGTATTTTTAAGCCCTAAACGGTCAACGCCCTGGTCCGATTTGATATTAGCTTTGATCGTGCCGTGTATGCCAACCATCTGCTGCGACGAATTTTATCCACCCGGTCGGTTTACGGTTAGAATGAAACGTTTCACGCCCGCGTGTTACTTTGAAAACCAGAACGCTATCCGTGCATTAAATAGTCTTGAAAATAAGACAAATATCGACACGAACCTACCAAAAATTATGGCTTTTACTTTGGACCCGTAATACCGGGGTGTGGTTGCTAGGGAAATGTAGTTAAAAAAATATGACGTACTGATTATAAAATCTTAGAATGATTAATTTTTTCGTCTCGCATACAGGATGCACAATGAACCTGAACACAGTGTCCATACGGGTTTCTATTTTCGTGCTGTTCTTGACCGCAGTGTTTCTGTTCACTTCGTACTCGGCCAGCATCGTAGCGCTACTTCAATCACCCAGCAACTCCATAAATACAATCAAAAACCTCGTAGAATCTTCGATGACGTTCAGCGCGCAGATTACTCCGTATAGTGAGGTTTACTTCGACGTGAGTACAACGATAAGGTGTCATTCACCAGATCAAAAACTTAAAACCCAAACAAAGTGAACATAGAGTTTATTGTTGACATTTAAACTATAAAATGTTCTAGACATTTTATAATAATTGCAACTCACGAAAAAATCTTACCCTAGAAATATATATATTATTTTCTCGTGCACATATAAATGATACGTTAAAAGATTTTCCATAATGTCATAAACTGATAACTGATATGTTTGTATTCCTCTCTTTCTTTGTCAATCTTAAACAGATACTCATCCTTTCACAACAGATTTATAGGAAAAGATAGTGGTGAGATACAGGCATACATAAAATAAATCAAAAACATATCATGTCTTACAGTGTACTAAGTAATATTGTGCGAAGTTAGTTCAACAAACAATTGAATAATTCATTTTATTTAAGATTTAATAAAATCAATTTAAATGTTTTTCCTTTTTGGATTTGAATCGTCAAGGAGACTGATGATCCACTATTACGAAAGCTCTACGATAAAAAGATGAAAGTTGAAGGCTCACGAAAGTTTACTGTAGCCTCAGAGGGTATCGCCAGGATCCGTACAGAGTTTCACGGATTTATGGTCAGCATGCACATTTAAATATTCCTTATAAACATCCGGATTCAAAAAAAAAATTCAATCATTTTCAGGTTGAAGTCGTGTCCGCTTACAAACTGATCAGTCGTCTATGGAGAGAAGAAGAAAAGTGCGGGTTTTCAGAGATTCCTCTTTTCAAATTGCCGATCCTCGCATTAGCTGTGGTCAAGAAATCTGGATATAAAGACATTTTCAAACAGAAGTCAGTCAATACCGACAACTCGTAGTTTTTTTTTTTTTTTTTTTTTAAATTCGCAATTCTCTAATCACGGTTATTCTCCGTACAGTTATGAATAGGTAATTTGATCGCACTTTATAACTTTTCAGAATAATTCTCCAACAAGAGGTGGGACTGAAGAACCGAATCATTCGACAGTGGATACCACCAAAGCCTGTGTGCGATTCATCGAACCGGGCCAATCAGTTTGTCAGCGTATCAATAAAGGAAATATACCCCATGCTTCAGATATACGGGTGCGGGTTATGCATTTCTATCATAATTTTGGTTTTGGAAATGGCGTACAGTGCGTACACGAGCCACCATGGAAAAGTCGACGTTCCACGTAAAAATATTGATGTCTCTTTCGTTTACAATAAATGATAAATCGATTACAACAAGCTTTATTATATTACTGTACCTTATCAGTAGCGTATTATATGTGTACTATGAATAAGTAGGTGTAATGTCTATAATTATTAAAAGTTAATTCAATTTCAGAAACAATGTCGTTGTTTATCCATGTACAATTTATTTACCATTGTTCAACTTATGTTTTTGAGTTTGTTTAAAAAGTAAGTTTTAAATTATAGTCGAAATAAGCCGATTCGAGTAAATAATAAAAAACAAGCCAAATAAGATAACGATGAAAAAGCTAGAATTATATGCATAATGCATATTTATAAAAATAGTAGTTTTCTATGACTGCAGGCAGTGGTGGCGCAGGAAAGTGTTTTAGGGGTTCAACCCCCCTACCGAAACTAATGGATGACTAATTTCAAACGTAGTTATTCTACCTTATACACCTTAAAAAAAATTAACTTAAACAAAATTTACTATCGAAAACCACCCTAAAGTTGTTGATATGATAATTTTGAACATTTACATTCTCTGAGTTTGTTTCATAATGTTTACGAACACGTTTGCTCATCGTTGGAGGAACTTGACAAGAATAGAACTAAAACTGATGGAGTACAACCTCATACTCTATATCATAATCTATGAAGGAGTTCCCGGAACGTACTACCGTCGATCCATCTAAATTCCATTTTTAAACCATTTATTAGATCAACTCAAATCCAGGTTTCTTAATCATCGTGAATTACTTTCAAAAATACCAAATATTTAACCAACAAAATGCAGTAAACAGACTACAGAAGAAATAGTCGTAACAGTCAAAACGTTTAGAAAAGAGTGGCCAAATTATATAAAAGGATCTATTGAAGATTTATTTTATTTTATATAACAATACGGTACATGACCAATTTAATATAATATTGATAACATATATAATTTGTACAGGATATATTTTTAAATTAGAGTTGATGGGTCCTTATTGGCTAAACTCATCATACGGTGTAATGGCTGATTTTTTGCGTGGTTGGTGTTACATATTGATAAGAAAAATGGATAATTGTGACGGGAATGAAAGGATGGTACTTTGAAATTAATTTATGCTAATAGTTCAGGAGAATCTATTAGTCCATCAATAAGATGTCATAGAAAAGCCAAATTAGTTTCAATTTTTCTGTCAGCTAAAGTTTGCATGCCAAGTCGGTATAAAACTGGTGAATAATCATGTATTGGGTGATCAATTTTTAGTGCATATGCCGCAAAGTTAAGAAATTTACGTTGAACACGTTCAACTTGATTTTTACCGCAAGAAGTACTTGGATCTCATATTTCGATATTGATCTCACAAACGCACAATATATAGATTTTATAGGAATTACTAATTTAAATTTACTGAAAATTCTTTTGATAAAACCTAATATCTTTATTGCTTTACAATAAATACTATCTGAATGAATATGAAAATTTAACTCACGATCAAACACTATACCTAAGTCAGTAATCGTATTACCCGCAAACAACAATGTGTTATTATTATTTACATACGAATAATTAATAATTTAAAATTAATTTAGGAGCGGATATCACAAAATGGCGCAGATAACTTTATTTCTTATTATCTTAGATAATCTTTGTTCTTGAAAACTTATTTATATTATTGTTTCAAAGATTGTTCAAATACGCCTGAAGAAAAAAGACCAAAATCGTTTATGGACGTTCTAAACTGTTATAAATCTATGTTATATCAGTCTATAAATCGATTTGTGCAAATTGGAACAACACTTCTCATTTCAGTTGCTTCTAGTGTAAGATTGTTCTTCGTGGATTAAAAACTTATTTACGAAACAAGACGGTGGAGAACCGATTGAATGGGTTAGCATTATTAAACATATATAAAGGCGTGGAGATATCTTGGATATTATGGCAAAAACACCGAAGGGAATAAATTTTATTTTATAATTGTTATAACTAATATGAATACAATAAATAATTATTTCAAAATAACGGTAATTATTATTATTTTTTTTAAAACATCTCCCAGAATTTTTTTCTGCGTCCACCACTGACTGCAGGTTATTTCAGGTGGGATTGCAACAACTTCCTGATTACTCGATTAAAGCTCTTATAATGGCCATATTTTCTGTAGCTGTTATGGTCCTAAGTCTGCTCACCGATTCCCTTGTAAGGAGAAAACTTTTTTTTCTGAAGTTTAATACTACATTCTTAATGGTTTTACTGATGGGAACGAGAACACACACGTCAACCGAGCGCGAACCGTAAGTGAAATACACGATTTTACTAGATGAACCATAATTTTAAATAAGTTATTTAACACTAAACGCACAGTGCTCATTCGACCAAACTATGGCATGGATCGAAGAAATACCATACAAAGCTTTTGGTCAGTGGTTTTTATCATTTTAGTTTCGCCCTAACCAAAGCTACCGAAGCTATTAAAATCAAAGGAGTTATTTCTGACGCAACTTGTATACCCATATTATGTATACACAATACAAATGGATATGATATTTACGTACATTATTCTTGAATTCTTCATAACGCTTGAACTCACATGTAAATGCACATATTTATTTCCAAGTAAAATTTTCTAACTTTTAAAATCGATAAGCATATTGAACGAGAATGAACAAATGCTAAATCATTCGTATTTTCCATTAAGGTTTCAATATCTTCTTATTACAAATCTAATTTAGAAAAATATTTATACTTTATACACATTTTATTTATTTTATCTAATAAAGAAAATATAAACTATATTTCTCAATGTTTCTTTGTTGTCGAATATTTTCCACTCGTGACATACAGCTATAATATTAAATTGGCCACTAACAATAAAGTTTCATACCAATACCGTTTCTTCGAAAAAGAACAAAATATTTCTTCATATTTTTGTAAAATAATAAAAAAAGTAATTTGTCATTCTTTAGCACCAAGCATACACACATGAATACGGACTATAACAAACTCATAGTTATTTAACAGTAGTCGTTCTATATGTGTACAGTACATGCGTAAACATCAAAGAAAAAAGTACATTTATAACCATAATAAATTAAAAACGATTGTAAAGACAAATTAATTTGAACGATATCAAGTTAATAACTAGAACAATATCCATTATTTGTATCATTGTTTAGAATTTTAACGAATTTTTCAGATATATTATTTTTATATTTTATACTGCAATATAATTATTTGGAGCGTTGTGTTTTCTTTTTTCTTTAATATGTATATGGACTTCTTTAATTTTATTTCAATTGATATTTGTTCTGTGCTTCTATAAAATTTTTATAAAAAAAAAAATACGTATTAATTTATATACTTAATACAATTAATTATTTACTCTATAATATACATTATATTTACAATTATTGTGCTGCGATCTCACATATAATTCCTAACCTCAGAGAGTATTGATCCAAATCTACAAACATATATGTAATACATTTCACCTCCAGCGCATTTGTTTTAATTATTTATTTATTATAATTTATTAAGTAGGTATATAATTTGTAAACTATTGTTTACAGTAAGCATATAAAGTAAAAAAAAAAAAAAATTTAAATTAAGTGAAAAATAATTTATCCACCGATTACACTAAATATACTCGTATTTCAACAAATTTAAAATTTTACATACATTTATAATCAAATTTACTTTGCCACAATGAATAAATATGTATATCTGTGTTGAATTATCTTTTACAAAATGGTATATTACATCTAAAAAAGAATTTCATTTTTTCCTTGAACGAAAACAAATCAATTTATTGTTACTGAGTTGACTTTCTCTAAAACTTTTTTTTTCATAACATTATATAATTGGTAATTTTTCATCAATATTCAATGCCTAATTTATTTTTCACTATATGAATTATTTCATAATTCAATTTTAGTAGACAAAAGTTATCCTCATTTATTAACCTTTCAAGACGTTTATGTTTTGATTCTGAAAAAGTATCTCTACCAGACAAAATCCCTTCAAATGTCTACTTAATTTTGTGTTGGATTTGGCTATAAATAATGAGATTTTTCATTAAATCTATCCCTCTCTTCCTTCACCATAATCTACTGCACGTAAACTTCTGTAATTCATCACAGCGGAAGCGTTCAATCGATATCTTTATTTCCGACATTATAATAACTAGAATAGTAAATAGAACTATTGATCGAATCGCATTTCAAGAGAAAATATACCAACGAGTGCTATTCAACTATTATAAGTGATTAGTATTTGTAATATTTTACTGAATGACTGTTTCAATATTTTTTTTATTATTTAAGTCATAAGCTATTAGCATGCTTTGTAGTTCAAATAGTTATTTATAGAATGGATATATTACACAAGTATTTGATCGATTTATGCTAAAGTTTTAAAAAGTAATTATTGTTCAATTGTGAATTTTGAATTGGCATTAATGAAATAAATTACAAGCATATTTACATATCTACATATACAAACACACACGGAAACACATAAATATATTTCTATAACCGTTCTTGATATTAAACGATATAAAGCAAAATACGAAACAAGAATATTTGAACATTTTGATGTAGCACAAAGAAATGTATACTATATTTAATATCATAGTTATTTCGAGTGCCTTTTTCAAGTAATTTGTTTGCCTTTTAAGCAAATTTACGTTGATTTATTTTCCCACGCATTTCTATCATTTTGGCTTGATATTGTTGATGGGAATGTGTTGATAACGTTCATAACTATTCATTCATCAGCATAAAAGTCTTAATACCTATATAACATTACTATTTTATGAATTCGTTAGTTTATAAAACGAACGAAATGATAAAAATGTATGTTTTATGTTTGCTTCTGAATGTCGGATTTACGTTACAAGACAACTACTCCGATTACGACTTTATTCAAGTTGCATCGAACTTTTTCCAACAGAGAAATGTCCAAACAATAACTGCCGCTACGTGTTGGTCAACAGGTAATCAAGTAATTTATAATAATACTCGTCGACTGTAAAAAATGTGAATGCATTCGTGTTATATTTGTGTTTAATGGTGTTTAACAGAGGTCAATGAAAGGCTGTTGAAAAAACTTTCAGCGATCGACAAATCGTTGTGTTTCTATTTGTCCAAAACCCATACTACACACGATACTTGGTACAGGCACGGGTTTATGATTGATCTGTCGTGCGACAGATCAATAAACTTCATGCAAAAAGTATTTTGTACACATTTATTTACACATTTACAAATATATATTATAGTATTTTTTTTTATTTTTTTTTTTTTTTTTGTTATTAATTTATTATTTATAGTATTATAGTTGGCCAAGACTTTTTCTACAAATATTATAAAAAATCTGTATTTTTCAAACACAATAAACATGAATAAATGAATAAATTTTATTCGACAAAACTAATGATTAACTCCAATAACCAACACAATACGTTTACAATTTGTATACTCAAAGCAGTAGTAGTGGTTATGATCAAAGTTATAAAAATGTTATGAATGACAAATACAAACGAATCATTTCCGCACAACGATTGTATATTTTTTCTACCGTAATTTAACCATAACCGTGTTACACAATCTCACCGTATAGAATACACTAAGGTTACGGACGAAAATGTCAAAGGACAAATTAACGTAATTCTTTAAATATAATCGATATTCGAGTTCCAATTTGGATAGTATTCAGGTTAGGTTACGCCCAACCGTAGTAATATATATCAAATTATGCCGATACTGGTTCAATGACCAATTAAGTTAGAAAAATACAAGTCGTAAAAAAACGCCTAAACTCACACATTTATATTTACCGCCGACTTTAGTTACACGTTTTCTTCGAAGTATTTACCTCGATGTAAAGTAGACAATATAACACCAAATGCGTTAAAAATATTAACGTTTTAGATTTCAAACGATCGAATATTCAACTTGCAAAACGACTGGGTACTGTTCGGTGGGAAGTCGACAGACAGTACGAACGACACTTTAGCGAAGGACGTGTTCGAAACGCACTTGAACAAGTCTTACGTCCTGCCCGATTCGGCAGTGTTCTTCTTTCAAAACATCGGGTATGGTGTTTGGGAAATCTGGAGCGGTTTCCGAGCGAGTAAATCGGACACGATTCGAGTACTGAAAATAGGCGTGACGTCAAAGGATCACATGGAAATCGATAATTTGATACGGTCGAGGACGAACTTTCGAGGCATCGAACTCAAAGCGACCACTGTGGTAAGTGCGGTTTTGCGTTTCATATTTTGTACGTTACGTGCGCGATACGAACGAGTTATATCTGCTCGCAGATAACCGATTTTGATAATTTTTTCGGTTTCGATCAAACGCCAAACACTGCGACCGGCTTCGATGTGTACACGCATATGCACTATCCAATGGTGCAACTTTTAGCTTACCAACTGAACTTCAAGTAATTATTGTACAGTAACATACAGTAGTTATGCTCATACGAGCTCATATTTATTTCCAAGGGGTTATCTTGATGATTGATTTTGTTAAAAGGTTTAACATTAGCTTTACTAACGACTACGGTTGGTCTTACGGCAACGGTTCGTTTTCCGGTCTGACCGGTGTTTTGCAAAGAGAAGAAAGTGATTTAGGCGCTGTTGGAACTATAATGCGAGTCGACCGAATGACGGCAGTCGATTATACTGTCGGAACAATTTCTTTAGAGTAATGATTAAAAACAAAACACGTCGTGACTTACTATCATGAGCGTGAAAAATCCTTTTCACCGATGCACTATACCTATGTCATAAACGTGTTAATAAATGCATCTAAAAGCTATACTCGGACGATGAAAAGTTTTCCGGTGAAATCGATTTCCGACGCATATAGTATAATATTGATTTTTTGGACTATTTTGTTCGTTGAACATCTTCATTTTATAATTATTAAACTTTAACACAGAAACAATATACTGTTCAGACAACCTAAGCTGTCGAGCATCAAAAATATTCACATTCAACCATTTAGAAATGAAGTTTGGCTCATAATTTTGTTTCTATTCGTCGGGTTCGTCACGATTATAATACTCATGAATAGATTCAAAGCTAACGGCAAAAAATCGTTAACTATACTGGACATCATCGAACTGGTTCTAGGTGCTATATGTCAACAAGGTAAACATTATTTCAATGTAAAACATTATCTAATACATTTCATACTTATTTGTCTTACTCCAAAACTATAAAGAAATATAAAAATATTCTAGTTGCTTTTATAGTTCATGTTCGTAAGTATTTAGAATATAACAAAAAAATAATTTATATATTTTTGGAAATTAAAAAAGCATTCGATTTAGTTAATCATACAATTTTATTAAATAAATTAGAGCTTTGCGGTAAAAGAGGAACAGCTATTAATCATTTTAGGTCATATTTTGATTCAAGGTTTCAGTGTACAAGACTAGACAATATTCTAAATCGAATAACTAAAATTTAATAATAATAGAATTTTAGAATTTAGAAACTGTACGGGGTAGAATATATTGATGATGAAATAACGAGAATTTTGTTGTTAAAATTATCATAATATTTAACAGCCAATAAAATTGAAAACAAATAAATTTCCAGACGGTCGCCTATCAATTTTATAATAATAAATCTCTTCGCATGTTAGGTTACCTCTTATCCAAAATTGATGGAAAAAGCTATCTATTCGTTAATCCAGTTTGTATTTACTTATCTTCGTAAGTCTGGTTTTTCCACACTTTATCAAATAAAAAGCAAACAAAGAAATCGGTTGGATGTGGAAAATTATATGCATTACGCATTGTCAAAAATATCCCCTTGGATTATGGACTTAATGGACCATAGATAATTTCATAAAAATCTAGGGCTAATATTAAATATTAATAAATAATACAATTTATAATAAAATAAATTATTCAAATAAAATAAAATAATAAAACCGTCATTTATACTGTTTAATTTCATATTGAATAATAAAATTTACCTAAAAATCAAATATTGTCCATGTATTGTAAAAACTGTCAATTATATATGGGTACATTTCATGAAGTGGATGTACATTTCATAAAATAAGAATTCAAAATGTTTACTATCATGTATTTCAAATGTATTTATTTCACAAGGTAACAATCATGGTAATAATTTTATAGTACTAAATAGATCGATAATGGATTATATAAATAACCTTGGCAAATGTTTATAATATTAAACTCTAATTTTATAAAAATACAAGCAATACTTTTTTTTCTTAATTTGATAAAATTTCGGAGGGATTTGAACATCCAAACTCCCCCTTTTCCAATACACGTCCCTGAATATTACGAGTGGCACATTTTATATTACATAATATATCTAACATGTATAATAGTATACATAAATTTGCAGGTACAGTAAATGTCTTGAACATGATCTCTATAAAAGTGGTAGTGATTGTGTTATTCTTGACTTCATTATTTATTTTTAACGCGTATTCGGCGAAAATCGTAAGTTTATTTCAGTCGACAAGCGTTACAATAAAGAACATAAACGATTTTGCAAATGAAAAATCAGTGACAATGAGTATACAGATAAGCCCATATGCAAAACCGTATTTTAACGTAAGCATTGAACTATTTCACTTAGGGTCAATCAAACGAGACTAGAAGGGATATTTATTACATTTTGTTACCCATGAATTCTTTTCTATGATATAATATATTGTATATTTTATCGAAGAACTCGAAATTATATTAATATTCTTATACCTCAATCCCAAGCTTCTAACTTTATAATAAGTTATTAAAACACGTTTTTTTAAATTTTTTTAAACGCTATATTATAATATTTTTAGGAAACGACTAACACGATATTACGAAAGTTATACGACGAAAAAATAAAACCATATGAAAATAAAGCATTTACTGATGCCCCAGAAGGAATAGAAAGAATCCGTACGGAATCTCATGGATTTATGGTCTATTTACCATTTTATTTACATTTTGAGAAAATTTTTTGGTATATAATTTTTCTTTTCTTAGGTTGAAAAAAAACATAGCTCACCAGTTAATCAATAGAAAATGGCTAGAAGCAGAGAAGTGTGGATTATCTGAAATTCAAATATTTCAACTGCCCACTCTAGCGATACCTGTAATTAAGAAATCTGGTCATAGGGATGTGTTCAAACAAAAGTATGTTGTCTTTCAAAATTATTTCAAACCCGAAATAATTTGGCTTGCAACTTCAAGGTTGATACAGCAGCAAGAGGTCGGAATTAGGAAACGTTTTATTGAACGATGGACACCGCCAAAACTGACATGCGATTCCATGAAAATAAATAAGAACTATGTCAGCGTCTCGGTCAAAGAAATATATCCAACGCTTAAGCTATTCAGTTACGGAATATTATTGTCCTTTGTGGTGTTTACATTTGAGTTAGCCTCCGATTACTTCTTTGATAATAATTAACAGAGGGCACACAATCATTTAGAATTTATATGAAACTGGATCATTGATAAATGTGAGATTAACTCGATTATATTATCATTAATATTTATTCTATAATATGTAATGCCCATTATTTTCATTAAATATCAGTCGCTATCGACTACCTGTTAGTAAAATTATTTATTTATTTATTTTAATCCTTTATAGTTCGCATGAATGGAAAAAAATAAAATTAATTATATGAGACAATTATTATACTTAACGTAATTTTAGTTACGCAAGTAAACACAGTAAGTACTCGTGGTATACCAAAATTGGTACTACTGCATATTTAAAATTATGAATATACTCCAGAGAGATTAAAATCGTTGATGCTATATAATCTTTGTGCATCGGTTGTCTAAACGTTAAAAATGTTGATTTTATAAGCATGTGTTTTTATGATATTATTTATAAAAAATATTTAACTTGATGTATTGAAAATGTGTAACCTGAATTTATCCAAAACATCACAGCACCCTGATTTTGACGAAATATGCGACCAGCCCAATAAAAAAATGTTTAATACCGGTCGCAGTAGCCCACCTTCCTGTATTTATTAGATGAATAATTGCAAGTATTTATTTTTTACGGAATTTATATCAAATTATGATACATAATTGTTTTTCGTGCAAGAGAATTTAACTACAGAAAGCAAACAGTTCGTAAATTTATTTCTGAAGAAAATTATGTGTCTTAGTAGTTGGTTAGAATTTTTTTCTAAACCTAAAAAGTTTTGAAAGTATTGCGGTTAAGTAAATACTTTTAATATTTTATACAACTATAGTTAAATTGATAAATCATTTTCAATGGTTTCAAATTACTTAAAATAATTCCAACAATGTTTTTTTTTTTATATTTTTTTTCGTAGAAATTTAAGGTATTAAAAACCCTAGAAAAACAAATAGTAGTTTTAATAATGTTATCGTGTTGAAAAATAATAATAAAAATAAATGGCCCAAAGTAACATTAAAAACATTTATAATAGTAGTCTTTTAAATATTTTTTTCTTTGACGTTAAATGTATTATTTATTTAGTTGATTGAGGTATTGTATAAAATTCAAAAAAATACATATCGTCACGATATGACGATTGAACTTTCAGAAAAATATCGGTTTTAAAAATAACGAACAAACCAAGAACGGTTTCTCTATTTCTATCAATGAACTGTAAATATAAAAAAAAATGTGTACAGTTTATCCATACATTATAATACTACTAATTGTTTTTAAAAACTAATTCTACTAATTATGACAGAACGGTGGAAATGCAGATGATTTTCTTGAATCACAAACATATTCAGACGGTAACGGTTCATACGTGTTGGCTCGGTAGTAAATTCAACTATGTATTATGTACTACGCTACCATGTTTGCTCCTGCTGATCAAATCCGGGCAAATACTATTAATTACATTTTTATTTCGAACAGATATCAGCAAAAAACTCTTTGAAAATCTGTTGTTCAACGACATGTCCGTAGAATTGCTATGTCCGTTGCCACAACAAACCTGCATGGTACAGACACGCTTTCTCAGTTGATGCGTTTTATAAGGAATTTTCACTGGGCGACAAAAACTGTTTTTTTCAAAATAGTCAATGTATAATACCATAGTACGATTATAGTATTACACGTTTCTTTCGCATTATTTCGCCCAGAGTATAATCACTGGGCGACATTTGTGTCGCCTAGTTAACTAGTTAAAAAATGCACTGGAAAGTTCAAAAACCGTCTTTCGACAACTAATAACTGCACTCTTACTAAAAAAAGAATAAAAGTAAGTCCTGTATTATGATGGCCGAATTATCGAAACAGGTAAAACATACACGCACGCACGATATAATTTCCCAGTTGGTATATATGCCATAAAAATATATTTTACCGCATTCATAACTTATTGATTACGTGTAGATATAAAATAATCGTCTGTTCAACATGCAAAACGATTGGGTTCTGTTAGATGAAAATTTGATTACGGACAAAACGAACACTATAACACGATCGTTAGAAAAGCTTAAAACCTTTTTGTACGATGCTTACGAACTCCGTGGTAGCGAAAACACCCAGAAAATTTGGAATGGTTTTCGTGCCATCAAATCGAGTAGAATAAAAACGTTCAAAATCTGTACGACATCGTGGATTTTGAGTCATTTATCTTAATTCTCCATGACTTGAACCAGTAAGATAAAATTTTCAGATGGGTTTGGAGTTGGTTGCTAGCTTCAAAAGGGCCTTGACTGGATGAGAAAATTGCTGTATCGTCGGCTTAAGTCCCGATTAGGGTGTTTTGTGTTGTAGGGATATCAGTTATGTAGAGAAAAAGTGCAATGTCGCTCCCTAGTGGTACCCCGACTAAGAGATTATGTGAGTTGAAAAGTGAGGTTTTTAGTTTAACTCTGAAAGCTCTATTAGTTAGATAGGATTTTAGAATTAGATTATAAGGTGCAATGAAAATTGTTTTAATCTTGAATAATAAGCGCTCGTGCCATACGATGTCAAACACCTGAGCAATGTCGAGGAAAAGCGCTGAACAATTTTTTTTAATATCAAGAGACGAATTTGATGGAAAGTAGCATGATTGGCCTGGAAACCGAACTGGAAGTCAGGAAGGGCGTTCTGTTCTAGACTGTTTCGGACTATTCGGTATCACAATACGATCTAAAAAGTAAACTTAGTAATGAGATTACTGTAGCGTTCATGTTAATGTTAGTTGAAAAATAAATGTTAGTATTTATTTAAAATGAACATATAATTGATTGGCTGCTCGAAAAAGTTAGCTTCATGTCTTTAAAATGTGTCATAATTTATTATTTATGTTTAAAATATAAAATGAATTATAAAAGCTTAATTAATGTATATTATTTTTGGCTGGTAAATTAAGCATATACAAATCATGTTTTGTTATAAAAAACACGAAGCACAATATTGGTTATATAAAATTATATAAATGGTTAATTGAATTGTTTTTTTTTTCAATTGTTTAAAAATAATATACAGAGATAGTCGTAACAAAGCCTTCAAGCTCCGAAAATGAATTGAGATGAACAGTATCACTAAGATATTGATATCCATACTGTTTGTTTTTTTATTGTTTTCTTGCATGTAATACAAACTAAAAAATTAGATAAATAAATTGGTGGTGTTGAGGGAAGGTTGGGAGGTATAACATAAGCTCAGCCTTCCCCACCCTAATAACGGCAATGTAGATGAAGAAATATGGCTTGGGTAATATATTTTCCAGGCATATATCCCGGGATACTGGTCAGGTCGTCCCTGGCTGTGGTAACATAATAGATTTCTAAACATAAATTTTGAACAACTTATATATCCGTCGTACCCGTTAGATACCAGTAAAATGTTAGGATTGTTGATATTAAGATATTCAATTATATTGACCCCGGGCATTATTATAAAATATCAAAATATGAGTATTTAATATAGATTCATATTAGCCAATATAAATACTTTATTTACGAATCAAGATATTTATGCATAGACATATGAAATTTCAGTATATCATATAAAACACGTTAAGAAGCCGGAAATCTGGTACGCACGCAGCACGGGCTTTTTTAACTTGTTTATAAT